TCCCAGCACCTTTGGCGGATTCTCCTTGCTAGATTCTCCAGCAGACTGTTCTTGCCGCAAGCGATACTTTCCAGCAGGTAATTCAATCCAGTTGCATCCAACAACGTCCCGGTCCACCATGAACCTAAGTTGGAAGACAAATCTTGGGTATGATGGAAGTGGAAAGTTGAAAATTCATATCTTCCCTGTTAGCTTCAAATTTATTTTATTTTTGATGTATTTTTGTATTGCCTATCCGAACAGCAAATTATGATAAAGCAGTTTACAAACAAGGCTGTAGAAAAATTAAGAAAAGAAACTTCATAAAGCTGTAAAGAGGAAGGGCGGAAAGTGATCAGATGATAGCATTAAGCGCACAGGGACAACAGTTACTTTCAATACAAGCAAAATCTTTCCAGAAATGCTTTCACTCATGTCCCAATCAAGCAACAGTTTTGTCAAAAGCAAACATATGAGAATATAAAAAAACCTCTAGTCCATTTCTTAATTCTATTTCTAAGATTTTGACATACAATTCCAAGTAACTTTAACCACTGAAAATGTCAATTTGCTAAGACTCAGCAATATTAGGAGAAACAGAGGAACATAGAATCATAGAATCAAAGAGTTGGAAGAGACCTCATGGGCCATCCAGTCCAACCCCTGCCAAGAAGCAGGAATATTGCATTCAAATCACCCCTGACAGATGGCCATCCAGCCTCTGCTTAAAAGCTTCCAAAGAAGGAGCCTCCACCACACTCCGGGGCAGAGAGTTCCACTGCTGAACGGCTCTCACAGTCATGAAGTTCTTCCTAATGTTCAGATGGAATCTCCTCTCTTGTAGTTTGAAGCCATTGTTCTGCGTCCTAGTCTCCAAGGAAGCAGAAAACAAGCTTGCTCCCTCCCCTGTGGCTTCCTCTCACATATTTATACATGGCTATCATATCTCCTCTCAGCCTTCTCTTCTTCAGGCTAAACATGCCCAGCTCCTTAAGCCGCTCCTCATAGGGCTTGTTCTCCAGACCCTCGATCATTTTAGTCGCCCTCCTCTGGACACAATATTCCAGCTTGTCAATATCTCTCTTGAATTGTGGTGCCCAGAATTGGACACAATATTCCAGGTGTGGTCTAACCAAAGCGGAATAGAAGGGTAGCATTACTTCCCTAGATCTAGACACTATGCTCCTATTGATGCAGGCCAAAATCCCATTGGCTTTTTTTGCCGCCACATCACATTGTTGGCTCATGTTTAACTTGTTGTCCACATAAGAGAATAGGTTTTTTAAAGGAGGAAAGAAAAGTGTGCCAAAAGAGCGTCCTACCTGATTTCAAAATCAATATTGGCCTCAAACGCTTGAAAGTTGTGTACTCCTAATGTTCCACACCGTAGCCCTTGTTCTAGCAACCTCTTTGCTGGGGCAGTTAGTCGTGGCATTGCCATAGTAATTTTCAGGAAAGGTATGAAATTTTCCCCATGGTAGCCATACATATCTATGGAGGAGGTCAAACAAAAGTTTTGGTCTCTTTTGAAGATTGTGGATCCTCCTATCACAAATTCACATGTCTTCCATGCACTCAGGAGTCCTCAAACTAAGGCCCAAGCGCCGGATGTGGCCCTCCAAGGTCATTTGCCTGGTCCTCGCTCAGGGTCAACCTAAGTCTGAAATGGCTTGAAAGCACACAACAACAACAACAACAACAACAACAATCCTATCTCATCAGCCAAAACTAGGCACACACTTCCCACTGAAATATTAATAAATTTATATTTGTTAAAATTGTTCTTCATTTTAATTATTGTATTATTTTTAAGTGTTATTTGCACTACAAATAAGATACATATGTGCATAGGGATTCATTCATGGGGTTTTTTTTTCAAATTATAATCTGGCCTTCCAACAGTGTGACCTGGCCCTCTGTTTAAAAAGTTTGAGGAACCCTGCCCTAACTTGTATACTGTAATCAATAGCTTCAATATCTGTATCTCCTCAGCTCCACTAATTCTGCACATCTAATAAAGGCTGTATTTCACATAGTAAGAACAAGGAGAAAAGGGGAAATTTGTTCAAAACACTACTAGAGCAGGGTTGCTGTAGTTTTAGGGACAGCAAGTATTCCCAGTCTGGGCCTTATTTCACTAACTGAACACATGTGCACCCATTCTTCACAAGTGCTCACTTTGTTTGTTGCAGATTTCCACTGCCAAAACAACTTGGCTCAGATTATCCTTGTTGGACCGCATGTCTCGGAGGACAGCTGCGTTCAGCTCCCTCTGAAACTCAGCTAGATGATCTGCTTTGAACCCTTGGGAAGAAAAGAAATAGGAAAGTGTTTACATGGAGGGAGAAAGAGGATTTAGTGTATTCCCTTCCCACACTGTATCTGCACACTCACCAGTCGGTGCAGGCACATAGAAATAGGGGGCAAAACCATGGATGTGGCAGCAGATGCTATTGCCAGCTTCAGTGACACCAAACATCCTTAAAACGGGAACTGGACCCTGGGTAGATCCTGGGAATCCAGGAATGTGAGTACCTACAACCAGTAAGAGAAGAAAACTGGATCATTCCTTGAAAGTCAATAATGTTCTTGGAAAACATAGAATATGGAATACTAGTAGAATAAAGGAGCCCCCAGTAGTGCAGCGGTTAAACTGCTGAGCTGCTGAACTTGTTGACCGAAAGGTCAGTGGTTCAAATCTGAGGAGCGGGGTGAACTCCCACTATTAGCCCCAGCTTCTGTCAACCTAGCAGTTCAAAAACATGCAAATGTGACATCAATAGGTACCACTCAAGCAGGAAGGTAATGACGCTCCATGCAGTCATGCCAGCCACATGACCTAGGAGGCGTCTACAGAAAACGTCGATTCTTCATCTTAGAAATGGAGATGAGCACCACCCCCCAGTCAGACACGACTAGATTTAACATCAAGGGGAAACATTTAGTAGAATAAATTCTGAGATTACAGTGATTGAAAAGTTAAGTGCATACCTAGAGTAGTAAAAAACATTGACAAAAGTAGCATATTTTGGAACATTGGGTGTCCCTTTAGACATGAACAAACTTAAAGAGGAAAGGGAATAGCCAAGGATGTATACGTCATTTTGGGTGGATATATTCTAAGTTGACTAAAGAGTTGTGCTGGAGGACCTAGAGATTCCTAGAGAGACCACCTCTTTAGGAATTTCTAGATACTCCAGCACAACCCACTTGGAGCTAACCATAGATAAACTGGGTATTTTGAGAGAGGTGTTCTCTTAGGTTCTAATAGCAAATTTATTATTTGCAGTTTTCCACTTTTGCAGGGGTCCTGTGTTCCTAAACTCAGTGAATGTGAAAGGCTGACTGTATATGTATTTGTGTGTACACACACACATTTTTAAAAGGCCCGCCCACAATTCAAAAAATAGAAAAAATGGGATTTCAGTTTTTCTGGGGAATTCCAGACCTTGCCTATTCTGCCTGGCAAGCACAGCTGGGAACATTGTGGGGCTACTATAATTATCAAAAGCCCCAAGAATTATAACAGCATCAGAACTTCCCCTCCAGCAGCAAAGAGCTATTGTTTAGTCAGACAAAGGATTGATCTTGTTCTGCAAGCCCCTTACCAGAAAGAAAAACAGAACTAGGTAGTTCCAATCCATCTAGCCCTTCAATGTCTTCAAACACCCTCAATCGGCATCTCAACCTGCTCACATACTCACCCACATAGTAATCGAGTTCCACTTGCTGGAAACATAGAGTCTCCTCTTTGGGATTTATTTTAGGAGGCGGTGGTCTCTGCCACTTGGGATTCCTCACTGATGAGAAGAGATTGCCTGAAGGGAGGGCAGAAACCAAGAATAGGGGTGAGCATCAATCCTCTTTTGAATTCCAAGATCCCAAAAAAATAAAATATATACTCTTCCCCAAATCAGTCTGTTTGTTGGAAAGACCAGGAAAAAGAGAAGCACTGCACAAAAAATGGAGAGAAAGGTCAAGTGTTGAATTGATGCTTGAAAAATTAAGATATTTGATGTGCTCTACCTTGTTCTGTTACTCAGGGAAGAACAACAGAACAACTGTAAAATCCAAACTACTTGGAATATTACATTCACTACTTAATGCAGCGTTTCTCAAACTGTACTCCTCCAGGTGTTTTTGACTTCAGCTCCCAGAAATCCCAGTCAGCATACCAGCTATTAGGAATTGTGTCCTCCCTATTTTGTCCCCATCTAACTCACCAAGAGGGATGTCATCAGGTACCAGCTGTGTTTCCTTTGCCTCCAAAGCCATCTCAGACTCCACCTCATCCAGAAAGGCCAGTTCCTCCTCAAACTGGGACGGAGCATCTTCCTCCCAGTCCGCTCCTCGTGACTTTTTCCGTTGGGACAATGTGGGTTCCCCCATACCAGAGCCTCCTTTAGAAGCCTTCCTTTTGTTTTCCATATTAGCATTCCTAAGAAAACAAATAATTTTCAGCAGCCAGCCCACTCCCTAATCAAAGCCAAAGTCTCCCCCCCCCCCCCCCCCCACCAAACATACACCTCTTGGACATGTGTTCACAGCAGAATCAGAGTATAATATTTCAGTGCCAGTTACCTGTACTGCCTATTTCTTTCACAAGCAACTGCTCACACTTTGCTGTCCAGGGCTTAGTGGTGGTTCTACCACTTGCCTCCTTTCCCTCTCAAACGTGGTACTGCCTTTTCCTCATCAAAGATATATAATCATATTTGTACAGGCCTTGCTAATATTGATGAAAAGCTTCAGTCTTATTTAATTCACACAGTAAGAGATAAATGGAAGTACTAAAGAGATAAATGGAAGTGCTAATGATGCCAAGCTGTCAATGAATTTAGATTATATGAAGTTTTTGACAATGTAGTAAGGAAGAACCCTCTGACCTTAAGGGCTGTTTGACACTGGAATGGATTACTCTGGCAGATGATGGACCCTCTCCGGCTAGATCGACACTGCTATATAATATAGTTTCAGTATGTAGATTAACTGCATTGAATGGGATTATAGGAGTTTACGCTGGCGTATAATCCAGTTTAATACAGCTAATCTGCATTATGGAAGTAGCTAAAGACAACTCAGGTTTGATGCAAGGTTTAAATGTTTTATGTTGTGTCTGTGATTGTTGTTTATAGTTTTATGTTGTTGATTTGATATGTGATGCTTTTATACTTGTGAGGCATTGAATTTTGCCATTGGTAATGTTGTGAACCACTTTGAGTCCGTCCCCCCCCCCCCCAGGGGTGAGAAAAGTGATATATAAATTGAATAAATAAATAAATAAAGTGGCAGTGTAGATCCAGCCTCAGTTTTTAAACAAAGCTTGGATAAGCATCTGCCGGGAATACTTCAGTTGTGGATTTCCTACATCCCCAGGTGATAAAACTAGCTGATCCCCTTCAATTTCACCATTCTATAATTGTACATTGTACAAGATATACATAACATAGTCTCTAAAACAGGTCCCTCGATCTAAACACTATACAGCCTAGGATCGCATTGAGTTTTTGAGCTGCTGCATTACATAGCTGGCTCACGTTTAGCTTGTGATCTATTTTTTTAAAAAAAATTGTATTAGAAGAGACAAGAAACTGCAAGTCACTTCTAGTGTGAGAGAATTGGCCTTCTATAGAGATGTTACCCAGGGGATGCCCGGATGTGTTACCATCCTGTGGGAGGCTTCTCTCATGTCCCCGCATGGGCTCATCCCAGTTACTGGATTCAAACCACCAACCTTCAGGTCAGTGGTTCAGATGGCACAAGGGTTTAACCCATTGCACCACCATGGCTCCTTGTGGTCTATTGGGACTCCTAGATCCCTTTCACACTAACTGTTTTCAGGCCAGGTGTCATCCATTTAATACCTGTGCAATTCATTTTTATTGACTGAGTGATTATTGGAACACGGAATAATGGATAATGAAATTGGATTCTGATTTTATTGATGAGATGTGATGGATTTGTTATATTGATGTATTGGTGTCTAATTAATTGCTATGCTACTGTTTTTAAATGTCCAATGATTTCCTATTGTATATACTGAATTATTGTTGTTAACTGCTCTGAATCGCCTTAGGGCTGAGAAGAGCGGTATACAAATAAAGTAAATAAATAAATAATACTGTACATTTCTCCCTGTTGCAATTGATTTTATTTTATTTAGTTATTTACAACATTTATATGCCAACTTTCTCACCCCGAAGGGGACTCAGAGCAGCTTACAAGATATATATATATACATACAATATATTATATTATCAGCATAGTACAATATCAGTACTATATATTACTATATTGTACTATACCATTATATTGTAATATTATTAGTAATGTTACATGTAATATAAAATATATAATTATAATATCATATTATTATTATTATTATTATTATTAGTATTACATTGCATTACATTATAATATTATATGTATATACAATATATTACATTACATTATATTTTGTTGGTTTTGGCCCAGCTCTCTAATCTGTTAAGGTCATTTTGGTTTCAGATCCTATCCTCTGGGGTAATTATTTCACACAAACCCACTATAATGAGTTATTTTGCAGGTCTAACGTAATTAATGTTTCCCCACAATGCCAACCCTTGTACCCAATATAGGTTCAATAATTTATTTCATGATAACCTTAGAAATGTTAATCTTTTTTTGTACTTCAACTCCCACCTTCCACTGAAAAGGGGGCTTGTGGATTCTGAATGTTGTAGTCGTTCCCCCCTCCCCCCCAAAGTAAGAGTACCTTATCCCCAACTGTTCTAGTTTTCCAGTTGCCCTTTCTCAGGTAGGCCTCAACTCCATATACAGTTCAGGCACCTCATTCCCACTCATTTCAATGGTGTCCTAAACATGTTTGAACTTTCACCCCTTCAAATAACCATTATAGGTTTTTTCCTTTCACAGACATCTTCCTCCCACTGGCACCCAACTCCCATTATCCACTATTTCCCCCTTTTCCTCCCCAAACACTTCTCACCTCTCTCCTGACTCCCTCAGCACTCTCCCGCCAACAAGCTCAGGGGAGGAGCGTGCCTGCCTAGTGCCTTGTTGCCATGCCAACGCGCTCCTCATTGGCCAGCGCACTGGAGAGTGACAAGGAACCAACGACTCTTCCGCGAGCCGTCGACTACGCTGCGCATGCGTGTACCTTCCTTGGGAGGCGCCACCGCCGGCATATTTAGTGTGGGTAGAAAAATAAGCCGTCATCTTACGCGCATGCGCAAAAGGTCTTCCTGAAGCTCAAAGATGTGGCGGAAGGAGGGCAAAGGCCATATCCAGAGCCCTGGTTAATAGAGAAAGGCAGAGAGTTTAAAAAAAAATCTATTTCTGTTTTATTGACTATTCTAAAGCCTTTGATTGTGTGGATCATAATACATATGGCAAGTTCTTGGTGGGATGGGCATTCCAAGCCACTTTGTCTGCCTCCTGAGGAATCTGTATAAGGACCAAGTAGCAACAGTCAGAACTGACCACGGAACAACAGACTGGTTCAAGATTGGGAAAGGCGTACGGCAAGGCTGCATACTCTCACCCAACCTATTTAACTTGTATGCAGAACACATCATGCGATGTGTGGTACTTGATGAATCCAAGATAAGTTAAAATTGCTGGAAGAAACATTAACAACCTTAGATATGCAGATGACACCACTTTGATGGCCGAAAGTGAGGAGGAGCTGAGGAGCCTTCTAATCAAGGCGAAAGAAGAAAGCGCAAAAGCTGGGTTGCAGCTAAACATAAAAAAAAAAAAACCAAGATTATGGCAACAAGAATGATTGACAACTGGGAAATAGAGGGAGAAAACGTGGAGGCAGTGACAGACTTTGTATTTCTAGGTGCAAAAATTACTGCAGATGCAGACTGTGGCCAGGAAATCAGAAGACGCTTCCTTCTTACAACCAATAAATGTAATGATAATAACAATAATTAGAGTAAAATAATAAATGTAATAAAATAATTATACTAGAGTAAAAATAATGTAAATGTAATAAAATAATAAATGTAATAAAATAATAAATGTAATAAAAATAATATTTAACAGAGTAACAGTGTAAAATAATACCTTTGACTCAACTATAAGCCCAGGGGTTTTTTTTCCGCCTATACTTGAGTGCAGGGGTCCTCAAACTTTTTAAACAGAGGGCCAGGTCACAGCCCCTCAAACTGTTGGAGGGCCGGATTATAATTTGAAAAAAAAAATGAATGAATTCCAATGCACACTGCACATATCTTTTTTGTAGTGCAAAAAACACTTAAAAACAATACAATAATTAAAATGAAGAACAATTTCAACAAATATAAAATTATTAGTATTTCAATGAGAAGTGTGGGCCTACTTTTGGCTGATGAGATAGGATTGTTGTTATTGTTTTGTTCTTTCAAGTCGTTTCAGACTTAGGTTGACCGAGGGCCGGGTAAATGATCTTGGAGGGCTGCATCCGGCCCCCGGGCCTTAGTTTGAGGACCCCTGCTTGAGTTTATATATGGGGGGGGGGGCTTTGAATAGCAAAGGAAAGAGATAACACCCCTGTGGCGTTTCTTTGCTGTCTGTACTCCTGTTCAGAAGATTTCACCTCACTTTCTGTCCCTGTAACCATTGGAAAACTTGGCTTGTGGAAACAAGGATTGGTGCTAAAGCTTCAGTGAAGGCACTCTTTCCTCGTGATAACTCTTCCAGGGGTAAATTTACTGTACCAGGAGTAGCTTTTTCTCACTTCCTCTTGTCTCATCTCTGTTCTTAACTATGAGTCGTTTGTAACACAGGGACTGCCTATACACCTCTATGTCTGCATTGGATTATACTGAAGAAGTGTCATGCAATTCTGCCAGGAATGTAAAAATAACGAGTTATTTTGCAGGTCTAACATAATTAATATTTCCCCACAATGCCAACCCTTGTAACCAATATAGGTTCAATAATTTATTTGATTTGCATTGGCAAGTATTATTTTTTATTATTCAGAAAAGCAATGGGTGGGGAAACTACCAGTATTTGCATGAAGTCATAATAATAACCTTTGTTTGCTGTCAAAGGGTGAAACATTCAAGATATACAATCAAAAGCAAACGCAGTAAAACATCATGCTATAAAAATACATAAAATCCCCAGGATCCCACCAGCCACAATAAGCTCCTTCCTTGTATGTTTTCCAGACAATTCCAATTTATGGTGAGATTATCATGCCGCATTATCACAGGATGTCTATGCCCTACACCACTGGAGAAATTATACTGTTTAGTCAGTAGTGCATCACCTGTCATCTGTTGGGAAGTAGCAGCCTGTAATGAAAGAACAAAGGTATTGACATCTCTGTCCCATCCTCTGTTCTGATATCAGCCAGTAAGCCAATGCCTTAAATCAAAAAATAGCTTCCTAACCTCTACAGAGATATTCGCAGGAACACCTCAGCAAGGAAGAGTCCAAAAGTGGCAGGTTAAAACCCAGATCCTCAATCAGTGACTGAGACCAGATGAGAAACTCCCCTCTGGGAACACAGAAGAGTGGACAACCTGGAAGGCATTGAACAGGCTGTGCTCTGGCACCATGAGATGCAGAGCTAACCTTAAGAAATGGGGCTACAAAGTGGAGTCCACGACATGCGAGTGTGGGAAGAGCAAACCACAGACCATTTACTACAATGCAACCTGAGCCCTGCCAGATGCACAATGGAGGACCTTCTCACAGCAACACCAGAGGCACTCCAAGTGACCACCTTCTGGTCAAAGGAAATTTAGCACAATGCCAAGTTTTTAACTTTGTTTGTGGTTTTTCTATACATTATAACTGTTTTCTCAATTTGCTTCTGACATGATAAATAAATAGTGGCTTTCATGGGCATTAATACTGTTCTATGGAGCACCAGATCCTGTCTGATTGTGGAATCAAAGCAGTGTCAGCCCTAGTTAGTGCTTGCATGGGCAACCAACAAGAAATACCATGTGCTGTAGGCTATATTTCAGAGGATGGAATTGGCAAAACCCACTCAGGGTATTCCTTGCCTTTAAAAAATGAAATTGATAGGATCACCAAGAATCAGCTAGCAACCTGAAGATATTTGAAGAGTGGATTTAAAATGAACAAAAGGCAGGCCATTCTGAGGACAAATGGTCAGACTGTGTATTATCTCTATAGCTAGCTCTACTCTGTGTAAGCGAAGAAGTGAACCCATACCAAGTTTTGGATAGTTATAAAACAGAATAATAGAATAATAGAGTTGGAAGACACCACATGGGCTATGCAGTTCAACCCCCTGCCATGCAGGAAAAGCACAATCAAAGCACGCCCGACATATGATCATCCAGTCTCTGTTTAAAAGTTTCCAAAGAAGGATCCTCCACCAGACTCTGAGGCAGAGAGTTCCATGGTTGTACAGCAGTCAGGAAGTTCCTCCTTTTTATTTATTTATTTATTTACTTTGCTTATATACCGCTGTATCTCAAGCCCGAAGGCGACTCACAGCGGTTCACAAACAGTAAAAACAGTAGAAACAGCAGTGGTTCCATACAACATATAACAATTGACTTAACACATTATCCATAAATTACCAATAAGCAATTACAATGCACAATTATTACAAAAAACAACCGTACCCAATCTTCTCATCATCCAAGCGTAGTCCAGGTTCGTCGTCCATTGTTCCATTCCTATGTTCCATTACCAGATTGCACTAAATTACTCCAAAACGTCTTCACCTTTTTGCGGAATACCATTAGAGATGGTGCTAGTCTAATGTCCGTAGGAAGGGCGTTCCACAGCCGAGGAGCCACCACCGAGAAGGCCCTATCTCTCGTCCCCGCCAGCCGAGCTTGAGAAGCAGGCGGGATCGAGAGCAGGGTCTCCCCGGAAGATCTCAAAGTCCTGGTGGGTTCATAGGCAGAGATGCGGTCAAATAGGTAGCTTGGGCCGGAACCGTTTAGGGCTTTAAAGGCCAACGCCAGCACTTTGAATTCAGCCCGGTAGCAGATCGGTAGCCAGTGGAGTTGGCGCAACAGGGGGGTTGTATGCTCCCTGCGCTCCGCTCCTGTTAAAATCATGGCTGCCGAGCGTTGGACTAGTTGGAGCTTCCGAGCTGTCTTCAAAGGCAACCCCACGTTGCAGTAGTCTAAACGGGATGTAACCAGAGCGTGGACTACCGTGGCCAAGTCAGACTTCCCAAGGGATCTCCTTTCCTGTAATTTGAACCCATCCTCCGAATCATAGTCTCCGGAGCAGCAGAAAACAACCCTGTTCCCCCTTCCTTGTGACATCCTTTCAAATATTTCAACATGACGATCAAAGAATATGGTCTCCAGACCATTGATTTATTTTAGTTGCTCTCCAAGGTGCTGGACTGATGTAGGAATAGGGTTAAAGACCTTGGAGAGCTCATCAATTGTATGAATTTTAAAAACTTGCATGAATTTACTACCTTATTGATACAGGAGTCAAATCGTGTTGCTTCGCCAAACTACATCAGCACTGAGCCATGGCAGTTAAAGTGGTGTCAACCTTCATTAATTCTACTGTGTAGATAACCGTAAATTGTCCTTGCACCATTTTAGCTGCATGGCAAAATTTATCCATTATGTTTTGATAATCTGCATGTATTTCCGTAAACTCTGACAAAGTGTATATAGTGGTTTGGTTCCCATGTAAACCCCCCTATTGTGAAAAATGCTTCCCTTTTCTTTCCCACTTCAAGCAAAAGTACTTCCTTTTATACAGTTTTTTTTTAAAAAAAACAACAATGTTGTTTGAGTTTGTTTGCTTGGTTCCTTGGTTTTCATATTTTTTTAGAGTGTACTTGCACAAAAAGCACAGGACTTACAGAGAGAGGTGGTTCTTAACTGGAAATTGAAGGTTTGGGGTTCATATTATAGTGAATATTATATAATATAATAATATATAATATTATAGAGTGAAGCAGATTGACTGTTGCTAGGTGACAAATGTATGAGAGGAAGGGAGGAAGGAAAGAAAGAGAGAGAAAACTAAAAGAAGAGAGGACCGTGGAGGATAAATGAAAAAGGAGGGAAGAAAGACAAGAAAAAAAGAGAAAGGGAAGAAGGAAAGGTATAAGGGCATGGAAGGAAGGAAGGAAGGAAGGAAGGAAGGAAGGAAGGAAGG